CATCTATGCGCTGATGACCAAACTACTGTTCACTGAATAATTGTATAAGTATCAGGTTTGAGTAAGTGATATAGGTATTTGGGATAACGTGCTATATACAGTATTAGAACATAAACAACATTCAAATAACTTATTGAATATGTATATAATTAACTACTTATTTGCGTTCGCTAACTGCTCTCTAACTAGGCATTGAAAATAGGTAGGCTCAAAATACCAAGGCGGCTCACTGTTTTGTCGTAAGAATATCAACCTCCGGCATCTATAAAAACACGGCCCTTTCCAACTAAAAAGGCGACCAAGTTATTCGTCTTTAATTAGTCAGAAATTGGTGGATTCGTCGGGATCGCTTCTTCAAACCTTCGAAGCCATGCACCAAATCCTAATTATTGGCTTCAGGAAAGAAATTCACAGTTTTGGGCGCCAACTGCCCGAGGGCCAGACTGCCGACTATATGTGGTAGAAAATCTCCAATAGGGGAACTCATCTCTCGTGATTTGGAAGTTCAACGGCCAGTAAGAGATAATCGAGACGAACTAGAGTTCCTGGAAATTCGAGATGAGACGGAATGTCATGGCCACATGTTAAGAGCGAGCACAGGAATGCTTTATGCACGTCTGTAGGAGGTAGCAACCCTCACTAGTAAAGAAGAGAAAAAACTGTCTAGTGTTCTCATCCTAGTACTTTTATAGAAGCTAGGTATGTTTATTGTTATCCTTTTTGTTTTACTGTTATTTTGATCAAGGAATTGGCACGGTATTTTAAGAAAAAAGGCGCTATTTGATAAACTTGTGGTTGTTGATGTGAAAGGTAAGGTTACAGTCATCTATGCTTACATTTGAGGAAAGTTCGCGTTGGTGAGGTATTTCGATAAGAATATGTACTCCGTGTGAATTCTAGCACTTCAAATGAATAACAGATAGAAATTTGACTGAGAAAAGAGCCTGAGACAGTATAGAAAGTCTGAAGAAAGTCACAGAATTGCGTAACCGCAAGGACGTAGAGGCTTCGTTGAGAGATGTTTGCCATATGCCAATTTTAGCGATGCGGCAGAAAGAATTTTGATTGAAAAACTGAAAGAATATATGGATTTACAAACAAATTAATGACCAACAGGCAAGTTTCAGGTGCTATGAGCAGAGCGGATGAATTTTTACTTGAGAATTGATTTGAAACAGAAGCAGTGCTTAGAAATATCGAAATACTTCAAATAAAACTTTGTTAGTGCTGTGATACGAGGCTCATCTCGTATGTTTATTTAAATCAATTTTACATTTCCTGACCCCAAAAGACGGCAAGCCGGTTTCCTCCAAGCTAAACTTAGCGAATTTGCATTGTACGCTTTTCTCCCCTGTTGAGGCAGAATCTGGCCTTCTTCTGAACTATTCTTAGAAGGATCTTTTCTATTGAGAGAAAACGTTCGGTGTGATCGCGGACTTCTACGTAACCGCATGCGCTGCTACCAGTACTGGGACGC